ATTGGTCTGAAGGCAATTCCAGAAGTGGAGGTAGGGGAGTTTTAAATGCAAGCTGTCAGAGAGATTCTGTTCTCAGAAGCTGTCAGAGAGATTCTGTTCTCAGCACTGCTGGAGATAACCTTCTGCTCAGTGAGAGGTCGGTTGTGTATAGGGATATAGAAATGGTAACATCGAAGAGGCAGCCTTTAATCTCTGAAACTCTGGCCCCACTGAAATTAATGGGAGTCTTGTTACTGAGTTAGTGCTTCCTTACATTCAGAACCATTTCTGAATTAGTGATTATGGGTAGAATAAGTAGCTGTGAGCTTTCAATGGCGTTTCAAAACACATGTAGTGAAACTGGGGTGTTCAGGAAATTAGCAAGCAGATCGAATTCTGTTAAGCATGTGGAAGTAACATTAGTTCAAAATTGAACACACCCACACAATCTCTTTGGATTGGTATGGGATAGGAAACTGCCTCATGTGAGACTACCATGACAAAACAGTGGTACCATCATCATCATGTCCATGAAAGCTACATGTTTTTGTGAATAGTTCCCAGCTGTGTCGGTGGGATGGTTCAGCTCAATCCACATGACCAAAGCTGACACAAACAACAGGGTCCTGCAGCCAGTGATTCTAATAAAAGTAAAATCCGGAGAGAGGGAAAATTCAGCATAATTAAAATCCATTAATCTGTACATATGTGTTCAGGCAAAATAATTTAGGATATGAGACTGAAGACCTTCAGTAAAAAAAAACCACAGACTGTGTATGAGCCTTTAACTGAAAAGTAGTAGCAGATTTTATAGATTCTGAAGGGAAATATGCTGGAATGTACAATTATACCTGTAAGCTCTGATTCTGCACTGGTAGAGACAATGAAGAGCAGTAGCTGCAAGAAGCTGGTACAACTCATTATCGGAGCAGACTCGGGCTATTTGTGAGAACATTGAGCTTGGGATACCCACCTTTTTTATTACAGACGCAAATACTTTCGGTATTGTATGTATCTCATGAATTTACAGTTTTGTCTTATACTGTTGAAGTTTTGACCTCACATGTACTTCAAGCTTTACAAGAACTTCATTCTCAGGTGGTGACAAAACCTCAGAATTCCGCTGGTAGTTAATAGCTGTCTGTTCTTCTGCCAATGCTATCTTGCTGTCCATTCCTCCTTAGCATTTATCATCCTGTAGTACTTACAGAAAGCAGCAATATATTTTTGCAGCTGCGATTTAACCAATTTGAATACATCAGGCTGTTTTAGCTAGATATAATGAACTCTTGAAAATGACAACAAATGGGGTGGAAGTAAACTTAATGTAAGTGCCCTCTTAATAGGCTTGTTGTTTGGCTTGATACTCAATTTCATGGTATCTATAAAGCTAGGAATATAGCATAAACTGTAAGATTGACATGGTTTCTGTACAGTCAGTACTTGTTAGGTCGTACAGATTATAGAACGCTGCACTGGGAAGAATGAGTTTTACAGGTTGTTATGTTGAAAAAGGAAGAAGTGGTTAAAGTTGCTTTTCATGTGACTTCCTAATCAACAAGAAGTAATAGTCGCAAAGAATTAATAATCCCAAAGAATTACTAGTCCTATGAACACCTAAATGTTTCCTAGGCATCCAAACAATCTTGAAAAACTAAAAAAACTACAACACGGTAGTTTTCCGAAATGAAGTAAAATATAAAAAGGAGCTGTATTCTCAAGTATTTGTTTGGTAATTCAAAAGTTTCCCTCTCAGACAGTCCTTAATTGATTCGTATAAATTGGAAGGTATCTTTGGGATGGTATTTAGTAAGTCTGTAACACAGAGACAAGTTTAATTTCTCAGAAACAGAGTTCAGATGGTAGGCTATGAATTACTCCCTAAGACTTGACATTAAGTGTGTAAAAGATACCAGAACAGTTAAGGAGGTTTGTTATTATTGAGAATAGTGTAGTTTTGAGTATTGATTATTGGGAGGTGTTAGTTTATTTTGTTGGTTGGTTGGCTTTATGGGTATGTTTCCAGTTTGGACAAGCAACAGTTTTAACATTTTGTATTTTTTTCATTCTTAAATTTCCAAGTGTGAGTCATGAGTCCCAGATTAAAGCTGGGGTGCATTACTTTCCCTAAAGTAGTACATCGCAGTCAGTCAGTCTGTGTATTTGGCACCTGAATGCTTGTATACCAAAACATATTTGAAGTTATTTTCTCTACAATGCTACTTGACAGTTACAGATGCAGAGAGAAGTGCTTGGAGAATTTGCAAACTTGCATGTTGCCTTCGTGGAGGAAGTCCCAGAAAGCAGCTCTGATTGTCCACATCAACTATCATAGTCTCCTCCGACAGACTCCTCATTTTCTCAGTAACCCTAACAGTTCTTGCCTGTGTCTCTTTCAGTTCGAGTGACACTTCCTTTAGTAGCATACAAAATTGGACAGTGTTTCAACTGCGATGTACTGTGATGTTTATACTGGACTTCTGGATATACTTTACCTAATCCACCCTAGCATTGTATGTGCGTTTTCTCAGGGCCACATAATTATGCTGCGATAGACTGGTATTTCCAGCTGATGAGCTCCGACATTGTAGCTGCTTGTTTATTAGTTTCTAATTTCATTGCATTCCAGTGTGTGAGCTCATCCAATTGTTTGTATATTCCGGTCTGCCTCTGTTTTAATAAAGTCTCTGTTCAGGCCATCTGCAAATTTCATTAGCACACACTTTCTTTATTTCCAAGCTCACATTTAAAATAGTAAGTAAGATGGGATCTTAACTGGATGTAAGACTTAACTGGAGCTGTGACTGGGTCTTAACTGCTCATCCAGGATCTCTATTAGAATCTTCCTTAGTTTTCCCTCTGCTGTGACACATTTTATCGCTTGTCTGCCTTCCCCACTTAGAACTTCTTGAACAAACCCCCTTCTTCTTCATATGCAGTAATAACTTAACACATATCAAATGATTTATTAAAGCAACAGAGATTTGATCTTTGTTACCTTTGTCTAGAAAATAATTCTTAAGAAAGAGAGTTATATGGTGCCGTGATCTCAGGAATCCTAGTTTATGCAACTGACAGTTTTTGTCCCTTCCCCTATGCCGTACAATGTCTTTTCCTTTCTCCTATCCCAGTTGGTATAAAAGTCAGCAAAATTGTTCCTGGCCGTTTAGCACCAGGAAGACATCTTTGAGCCCAGCAACGACCACCTCTAGCTGGTTAGAACTGGATTTTGATGACACATAGTAGAATTACAGGCCAGGAAACCAGCTGAAAATGGTGCTAGTACAGCTCAAAGTTGGGACCATACTAGTGAAAGGAAACTCTGACGCTGCCATTTTTTGTACCGTATAGTAATCTGACACACATGCTGGCAGCAGTTTGTGTTGAACTGTTGTAAATAAGATACAGGAGTCATGCCTCAGTAGTCTCAGAGGCATTTTAGTCTCATTGCTTCTCCACAAGCAGAATGCCTCCTGAGATTGCCGACAGTGGCTTGTTTGTTTTCCTGTTTTCCTCCTTTGACTGATGCTTAAAAAGACATGGTTTAGCTTCCAGTTCTGTTCCATAGAATAGTTAAAGCTTTTCTGTTTTGCAGAGTGATTCAATCTAAACAGACGGGGAAATTCTTAGCTTGTATTTTCCCTGTTTCTTTTAGTATATATTATGTGGAGTATTAGTAGAACAATCAAACAAAAAAAATAGAGTTTTTTTAATAGCCAAAGGATCTTTGTGAGCAATATTGGGAAAAAAAGTTGCATTAACTTGTCAGATGAATGTGTATTTGTCATTGTCAAAAACCTTTACTGATAGTTTCACTCCTTATTTGTGTTTGATGGAATGTGGAAAAAATTATGAGGGACATTTATTTCTTGTCACAAAGAAAGTGTAATATTATGGATCATGTAGTCTTACAAAATTGTTGAATATTCTCATCAATGAGATGATGGTTCATTTTCTAATGCTGATGTTTGTGATCAAGAAAATGTATGAGGCCTTCTTCAGGAAAGGAAAAAGCAGTTATTTTTTTTTCTTTCAACTGAGGCAGTGACACCAGTTTTATTTTCTCTTTCTACCCTGTAATTTAAGAAAACACCTCTTTCAGATCCACAGCTAATCTGCTGACACAGCACTAGCTCTATTATTTTGAGTTTGTGAAACGCTGATAATAGGATAGAGACCTACCGTTGTAGGTTTTAACTCACCCACTAAGACAATGTGTTTGACATACTATGAGCCCAAAGACCCCTCACGAAGAAAAACACAGCACCATGCTGAAAAATAACAGCTCATCGTGTAATTGAGAGCATGACTCAGCAACATGCTAATAAGCCGGTGTCTGTGTTGTTCGTGCTGGTGCGGAAGGCTTATGCATCTGCCCTCTGCACAGTTTTCACTGCCTGCGGTTAGGGCGATGACTGCAGCTGTGAAGGGGTGGGAAAGCTATTTTATCTGACCTCTGTACTAAAATTCTGTGCTGATGGTTTGTGCAAGCAACACAAAACTGGACTGCTGACCACAGGCTGCTTGCTTTTCATACAACCCTGTGGAGATGCAGATCTGGACTGTGGAAGACAGCACAAAGGAAAGATATCCAAAATGCTTCATGACCCTAGTCTCACTTGGCAAAGCAGCCATAAAGATGATGTTTAAAAACTGTCCCATAGCGTGTATTCAGGCGAGTCTTGGTGATGCATGTGAGAGCAGTTTTAGAGGTTTCCATCTCCTGCTGTGAGCTCCACAGTTTATGTGAGTCTCAGGACAAGTGATGGTAGGGTAAATTTGGAGTTCAGGCTGTGAACTGAGGCAGGAAAGACACTGATTCACATTCGCTACAGCTGACTCAGCTTCTGAAGCAGGGCACATAGCAAAGAGAACAATGGTAAGTGGGAACTTCTTATATCTCCATGACATGAATGACCAAAGCTGTTTCGAAGGCGTCTAAAGTGCTTTACTGGCCAGCTGGAGCTTCTGACATGTATTAAGGATGAAGTGGTACACACAGGAAAGGAGCCCTCTCTTACCGCTACTATACCTGTAACCATAGTTTGCCCACATCCTGTCAGCAGATCTTGTCTCCCAAGTTAAGTAGGGTACAGTAGAGTTCAGGTTCAGAGAGGTGTGACTGACGTGATCAAAGATACGCAGTAGATTCTGTATGATTAAATAGGCCTCAAAATGGACTGGACAACAGTCAACTGAGAGGGGGATATAAAGAGGGGTGTACAGAATGATGAGTGGCCTGGAGAGGGCAACTGGGCAGAGGCTGTTCACTCTCCAATACAGAAGTAAGGTCATCAAAACAAATCAGCAGAAGGCAGATTCATAACAAAAAGAAAAAAAATTTTTTCCACACAAGAGGAACTTAAGCTGTAGAGCTCCTGGCAGCCGGGGGTTGTAGGTGAGAGAAGTGGTCACAGAATTCAGATGGAGGCTGGAAGGAAAATACACTGGGGTTCCTCTAAATGTATCACAACTATGCCTAGTTCAGGAAATCCTGAAGCCGTAAATAGATGGAGACTCTTATCTGAGACAGGTTACTGGGTTAGGTAAACTCTGACCCAGGATACATATTTTTATGTGTCTTAAGTTTGAATTTGTGAGAGTCTTGATGCTGTAAGAAAGGAATCCATTAAGTTTGTGAATGACTCCAACGGGGGGAATGGGGTCAGTATTCCTGAGTGTAAGACTGCCATTCAGATGGACCTCAATGGGTTGGTGGAACCTCATTAAATTCAGCAAAGATATATCCAAAGTCCTACACCTGGGCAGGAAGGACCTCTGGCAATAATACTGTCCAGTTTGGTTTCTTCCTGTACAAGAAAGACATGACTAAACTGCAGCAAGTTCAGTGAAGGGCCATCAGGATGGCTGGAGCATGTCTCCTTTGAGGAGAGACTGAGGGAGCTGGGCAGGCGCGCAATGGAGCAGGCTGCCCGAAGAGGTGGTGGAATATCAGTTCTTGGAGGTTTTCAAGAGCTGAGTGCACAAAGACCCAAGGAAATGTTGTCTCAGTTCAGTGTTGCACCTGACTAGACAAACTCCCAAGATCTCTTCCAACTGGATTTATTCTTTAATTCTATGAATTTTCAGCTAGATCGCTCCCTGAACTAGGTCACCGCATGGCGTCTGAGCAACAAGCAGAGGACAGGGCCACATGATTGAGGGAGGGGCTGCAGCGCATCTGACTTGGACCGGTGTAAGCTGCTGTGGAACTGCAGCCTTACAGCAGTCCATGACATCTTTCACCTCGTGCTGTAGGTCAGGCCAGTGGAACAAAACACCTGGAACAAAACCACCTGCAGCCTGATCTTTCAGAGGAGAACAGATCTACTTGCTCCCTTGCACCTGGGTTAAAGATGTGACAAGAAAACTTCCTACCCTGGTATGGCCCTCAGATTATTATCCATTGTTGATTTTTTATGTAGGCAGCAAGGAAGTTGCAATAAGAAGTCCAAGGGCAATCAGGAGAGACTTCAGGCCCATGGGAAACTGGTTAAGGATCAGGAGCACAAGTTACTGTGTCCAGTTCTGGGCTCCCCAGTTCAAGAAAGATGAAGAGCTACTGGACAGAGTCCAGCGGAGGGCTACAAGGATGGTGAGGGGACTGGAACATCTCTCCTACGAGGAGAGGCTGAGGGAGCTGGGCTTGTTGAGCCTGAAGAAGAGAAGGCTGCGAGGGGACCTAATATATACTTACAAATATCTGAAGGGTGGATGTCAGGAGGATGGGGCCAAGCTCTTTTCAGTAGTGCCCAGCAACAGGACAAGGGGCAATGGGCACAAACTGAAGCACAGGAAGTTCCATCTGAACATGAGGAAGAGCTTCTTCCCTGTGAGGGTGATGAAGCACTGGACCAGGCTGCCCAGGGAGGTTGTGGAGACTCCTTCTCTGGAGATATTCAAGACCCGCCTGGACAAGGTCCTGTGCAGCCTACTGTAGGTGACCCTGCTTCGGCAGGAGGGTTGGACACTATGACCCACAGAGGTCCCTTCCAACCCCTACCATTCTGTGATTCTGTGATAGTGTTCTCCTCTATCCTTCCAGTTGCAGGAAATGATGAGGTAAGAAACAAGAAGGCCCAGCAGATCAATACCTGGCTCCAAGACTGGTGTCACTAGCAGAATTTTGGTTTTTTTCGTCGTGGGTCAGTCTCCACAACACCAGGCCTGCTGGCAACAGATGGGGTACATGTGTCTCAAAGAGGGAAAAGGATCTTTGTTAGCAGGGCTCAGTGAAAGAGCTTTAAATTTGAAGGGGGAAGGGGTTAAAACCAGGCTTGCTAGAGATAAACCTGGGGGTGGCATGCCAGTGTTTGAGGGACGGTGTGCTAGCAAGGTCCACCATGTGCTTAGTACACTGGAGTGCATTTGAAATGTCTTTATACTAATGTGTGGAGCGTGAGGAATAAGCAAAGAGGACTGGAAGCTTTGGCCCAGTCCTGGAGCTACAACATCGTTGTCACGAGCAATACCTGCTGAGATGAGTCCTGTGACAGAGGTGCTGTGGTGGACAGTTGTAGGCTCCTCATGAATGAGGGCAGGGGGGGGGGGGGTAGCGCTAGAGGGCTTGGGTTGTATGGTGCTTATAGTTGACGATGACGAGGCTGAGAGCCTCTGGGTGAGGATGAGGGGGAAAGCAAATAAAGTGGATGTTGTTATGGCAGTCTACCACTCAGCCAGGATGACGACACAGATGGATTATTCTACAAGGAATTAAGGAATATCTCTAGATCAACTGCCCTTGTCCTTATGGGTGATTTTAACTTCCCGGACATTAACAGGGAATATCACAAAGCAGACACAAACAGGTCCAGGAAATTTCTGAAGCATGTTGAAGAGAACTTCTTGGTGCAGTTACTAATGGAACTGACTAGGAAAGGTGCCCTCCTAAATATGTTTGTAAACAGAGAGAGACTTGTGGGCAAAGTGGTCATTAATAGCTGTCTTGGTCACAGTGACCATGAAGTAGTGGAGTTTCAAACTGTTGGTGATAGGAGAAAAACTGCCAGCAAAACTTCGACCCTGGGTATGAGGAAAGCAGATTTTGGGCTGCTGAAGGAGCTAGTCAGTGAGGTCACCTGGGAATCAGCTTTTGAAGGTATTTGGGTCCATGAGTGTTGGTCGCTTTTTAAGAGCCATCTCTTAAGAGCGCAGGAGAGGCAATTCAAAGGTGCCAGAAGTCAACCAAGTGGCACAGAAGGCTGGCTTGGCTAAGCAGGGATCTTCTTCTAGAACTTAGGCAGAAAAGGAAAGTGTACAGACATTGGAAGCAAGGACAGGTGACAAAGAAGGGCTACAGAGATGCTGTTCGCCACTTTAAGGAGAAAATCTATGTGGCCAAAGCTTGATTAGAGTTCAAGCTGTCTAGAACTATGAAGAAAAACAAAAAGAGTTTTTTTAAATGTGTTGATAGCGAAAGAAGAATCAGAAGTAACATTGGTCCATTGCTTGATGGAGTTGGTCACCTCACAAATAGGGATATAGACAAAGCAGAGACGTTTAAGGCCTTCTTCACCTCTGTCTTCAACACCGATGAAGGGCCCTGGGACCTCCGGAACCCTGTGTTGACAGACTGTGACTGGGAGCATGATGAACTCCCAGCTGACCCTGAACTTGTTCGAGACTTGCTGCTCCAGTGGGATGCGCATAAATTTATGGGGCCTGATGGGATTCATCCCAGGATACTGAAAGAGCTGGCTGATGTCATCATGGGACATCTCTCTGTTATTTTTCAATGGTCTTGGGAGTCTGGAGAGGTCTCAGTCAACTAGAAGCTGGCAAACGTCCCAATTTTCAGGAAGGGAAAGAAGGAAGACCTTGGTAATTACAAGCCTGTCAGTCTCACTTCAGTGCCTGGTAAAATTATGGAGAAGGTTATTTTGGGAGTTGCTGTAAACACTTGAGAGACAATGCAGTCATTGGTCATAGCCAGCATGTGTTCACAAGGGGAAAGTCCTGCTTAACCAGCTTAATTTCCTTCTGTGACAAGGTCACCCATCTAGCTGATCAAGGGAAGCTAGTAGATGTGGTGGTTTTGGATTTTAGCAAAGCTCTTGATACTGTCTCTCACAGTGTCCTTCTGTATAAAATGTCCAGCACACAGCTAGACAGCTCCTTAATACACTGTGTTAGCAATTGGCTGACGGGTCAGACTCAAAGAGTAAATACGGTTAAAGCAGGCTGGCAACCAGTCACCAGTAGCATTCCCCGGGGCTCAATTTTAGGGCCAATGCTCTTTAATGTTTTTATAAATTATCTGGATGCAGGAATTGAATGTACTTTAAATAATTTTGCTGACAATACTAAATTGGGAGGAGCTGTGGACTCTGTTGAGGATAGAGAGGCCTTACAGAGAGATCTGGATAGACTGAAGAGCTGGGCAATCACCAAACGTAAGAAATGTAACAAGAGCAAGTGCTGGATTCTGCACCTGGGACAGGGTAATCCTGGTTATATGTACAAATTGGAGGATGAGAGGCTGGAGTGCAGCCCTGCAGAGAGAGATCTGGGGGTTTGGGTTGATGGCAAGTTGAATATGAGTCAGCAGTGTGCCCTGGCAACCAAAAGGGCCAACCATATCCTGGGGTGCATCAAGCACAGCATCGCCAGCCAGTTGTGGGAGAGCATTGTCCCACTCTACATTGCACTGGTGCGGCCCCACTTCGAGTCCTGTGGGCAGCTTTGGGCACTTCGATATATGCAGGATGTCAAACTATTAGTGTGTCCAGAGGAGGATGACCAAGATGGTGAAGGGCCCTGAGGGCAAGACTTACGAGGAGCAGCTCAGGTCACTTGGTTTGCTCAGCTTGGAGAAGACAAGGCTGAGGGGTGACCTCATTGCAGTCTGTCTTCCTCAAGGTGCTCAGCAGAGGGAAAGGTGCTGATCTTCTCTCTCTGGTGAGTGGCAATAGGACACAAAGAAGTGGAATGCAGCTGCGTCAGGGGAGGTTCAGACTGGACATTAAGAAAAGGTTCTTCACTGACCGGGTAGCTGGTCACTGGAACAGGCTTCCCAGGGAAGTGGTCATGGCACCAAGTCTGTCAGAGTTCAAGGA